CAGTGGGCTTGCCTCGTGGTCCACTCCGCTAGTCGCGATACTCATTGTATGGAAAAGAAGGGCAGACGGACAGGGCAGGCAGTGCGGGGTAAAAGAGAGAGGGATGAGGTAGAGACAGGGTAGAAGGGAGAGACAGCCACAGCGCGTACTAAGGAGACCTTGAAGGCTGCTGGCCGGGTGCCCAGGTCTAGTGCTGACCCACTATAAAGGCACTTGCCGTCTTGCTCGTACGTCAGGATCACCGCCTAGCACCCTCTCCCTCGGGAGAGAGCGCCTGCTAACCTACTACTCTCCTGCCCGCGCTCTCACTTCGTTCACCGCATATACATACACCGGCTCGGCTCGACTACGAAACCCGCTTCCAGACCCGGACCACGAGAGTTTAGAGGCTCTCTGAAACGAGAACCCCGCGCTCCATCTCGCTCCCATCTTCTTGGCCCTTCCTCGTTCCTTCTTTCACTCGTCGTCTCGTACTCCATGATCCCCTGCGCCTGCTCGCTACCTTCACGATCTCGTTTTCACTCCCTCTTTTTAGCTCCTCTCCTTTTCTCTTCCTCTCTCTCTCTCTCTTCTCGTACAGTCCTCCGTCCCTCGCTTCATCCCCTCATGGCCCTTCTCCGAATACCCGTCTGCCCTCTTCACGTCGTTACTACCACGTGTAATTCGCCCCTTCTGTGTAGTGTTTCTTCTTTTAGTTCCTCTCTTACTCTCTTACTCCGTCTTTCTCTCTTTCTTTCTTCAGCGCCGATGCTCTCTTCATCTCTCTTTTTCCCGCTTTCTTTCCCTTTTCTGTCGCTCTCTTTCATCTACTCTAACACAACACATGCGTTGAGAAAAGAGAGAAGAAGAAAGAGAGAAAGAGGGTGTACACGTTTTGGAGGGAGTAGTACCATCTAGCATAGCAACTGCTGTTTCTGCATTTCTTCGCAGCGCGCCCCATACGAGATGCCGGTATATTTTAAGCGTATAACGGGTGTCCCATCGCCAAAACGAAGCGCCGGAGCTTTCCCGGAAGTTCGTGGACATTTATGAACCAGTTCAAAGAGAACTCTTTCGCTTTCATAATCATTTTTATTATCATCCAAGAAAACTCGTATTCAATTTAATTTCCTTGAATGCCTACATATACACAGGTGAAGGAATAATTTTTTATATTATAGATTTTTGTGCAACATATTAATGGATGAGGTAGATGAAAGACGTTTATTGCATCTAAGAATCATAAAATTTTAGAATTAGATAGGCTATGTTACATATACATATATAGTACGTGTAACATTTAATATTAGTGTTCTGTAACTGCTACTAAGTATTTAAGTCGAACAATAAGTTAATATTAGTTACATAACTTTATTTAAAAAAACGTTAAGAAGCTTTACATGATCTTCGTTAAAAAAAAAGTCTTGTTAATGATTATTATATACATTTTATTTGATCTGTTTTATATTATACAAAATCTCCAATATTCTCTGTATAATATGATAAATTCAATTTGAAAGAGAACTGTTTATATTTAACCATTCTCAACAGGCACTTCAATATCGATGACAATTACGTGAACATAAAGTTTTTAATTACAGCGCTCTACTAATTACAATTCAAGTACATTACCACATTATCTTGTCTTCCTCTCGAACAGTACTGAAATTTCCTGCTTCATTTCAGCATCCGTCTAGTATCATTGTTACCGCGTTGTGTGTTATACATATATATTGATATTTATTATATCTGTGCATTGTCATCAGTGCCGTCGTGTTTTGTTGTACCGAGGCGCTTCTCAAGCCCCACTTTAGTAAATGTAATGGCAGAGTTAACCCCGCTCGCGCTGGTGCAATCTCGTCCCATCTTTACGGCACGTGAAATCGGGCGTAAAATGCGCGGCGTATTTAACGCGGCATAAGAATCGAATTAAAACCTCGTCAGGACGTACCCCGAACTTTGTACCTCTCTCATTCTCTCGCCACCGAATTGGCTTTCGCATGAAACCTGTTGGCTACGCGGTCGAGCACACTCGTCTATATAGGTACACTTACGAATATTATTACTGACGGGGCAGAGCTCGCGAAGGGAGAGACCTGACACGAGACATACTAAGTAGCCATTTAGATAGCCACTCCTTTCCTCTCATCCATCGCACCGCTCTTTATCCCGTTCTCTCCCACTGTCGAACGAATGACTGTAAAGGAGAGAGAGAGAGAGAGAGAGAGAGAGAGAGAGAGAGAGAGAACACTCGAACACGCCATTTTTCTGCTGGCTCGCGCATTCTCCTTATTTCGTTTCATATTCCTATACTTCTAATTCATTCGCATTCTCAAGCCGGCTCCTCGTCCAGCCACGACGTATGCATACTCTCATTGTATGGAGCGTAGCATCTAATAGAATCTATGCGAAACGGGTTCACTACTTGACCCACGTCGTTATACCGCACGAGAAAATCTAGTCTCGAAGAACTTTGTTTAGATGCGGAACGTTTAAATTCAAGGAAGTATATTTTTATTCATAGATACGAGTCTCGCGAAATTGATTAGAATTAAGAAACAGCTCATAATTATTTAAAAATCTTGATTACTTATGATTTTAATAGAAATTAAGTGATGTCTTACTGTATACTATAATAATTAATAATACAGTTATACATGATTGACGAGACGACGAGTACTGAGGGTGGTAAACGAAGTGGTAGTTCGATTCTGACAGGCGTTCTCGTTCGATTAAAATTTAAATGGGCACAATCATAAGAGCTGACACCGAAGGCACCTCGAATGGATCCGCTTAACGAGCACTACGTCGAGCGACCGTTCGGCGCGAGAATGATTCGCGAATCTATTCTTCTCGCGATTCGCGCGGCGAGGAACCGGTCATGGGAAATTAGATGGGCTTGACCGGTAAACGACACCTGGCACGTAGGAAACGTAAGGAAATACTTGTGTGTGCCGTACATACACGCTGCTACAATCTTCCATCTCTCTCTCTCTCACTCCCTCTCTCTCTTTCTCTCTCTTTTCCAACTATCTTTCCCGTTCTCCTTCTTTCTCGCGAGCTACGAAATGTGTCCGGCAGTTCACATAACCTTTGATCCTGATTAGAATATGAGTGAGGTGTAGCTGTGGTGATATAGCTTTCGTCTAGGTTAATGCCGGCCGCGATTTTTGCGCCGTTACCGCACACGTGCACACCGGAACCCGGAAGTGAATGTGCGGCGGAACCGGTGTGGTGTCCGACCGCATGTGTTTTTCCATGGGAAAAGTCTCCCATCTCTCCTCGTTTCGTTCGCGGGGTCAGAGGTCGAGGCTCAAACAGGTTGTACACTGACCCATTGATCCAATTCTGCTGTTCGACTTGAGACGCATGAGAAAATCGCAATGAAAATATCTAGTTGTACTTTTAATCAAAATTTATATGGCAGTAGCAGTGGAAGAATTAAAGTTTAATTGAGAACTAATTGTAGATTAATATCAGTAAAAGTTTGTCTCATCGATATAATTCTTTTTAATTTTTATAATAACATAATATTAATGAATTTAAGATATCAATTCGGAAAAGTTATTATTATTTGCAAAAAGAAAACATTAATACAATTAAAGAGTATATAATATATTAATGTAATATATAATATATAAATATATCAATTTTTGCTATTGGACAACTACGGATTATTTACGCCATAACAATGAAATAACCGTTAACTTTCGTCGGCTTCTACTATGTGAATAGATGAAAGGACACCCTTTATAATAACAAGGTCTGGACCGCGAGATTGGTAATCGCTCTATTTACTGGCCGCACCGTTGTGTTATGTTACGTGTCCATGAATTTCGTACGCCTCTTTAAAGACACATCTAAAAACCAGCTCCTTCATTTTCGTTGCAGGATATACCTATCTCGGATCCTCGCTCGTTGTAGAACCGTCCGTAGCCAGCGCAGCAAAAAAACGGTAAGTTACAAAAATTTTGTCATTAAATTGTGAAAGCATGTTTTTAGTTTAAGAGAGAGAAAGAGAAAGAAAGAAAAATCTGTCTAAATATATAATTGTTATAAAAAAAAAAAACTAAACATCAATTTTCATAAATTCAAGATATATCCGCGATTTCTGCATTTGGAAATTATCCAAAAGAAGAAAAAAAGTAAATTTTAATTATTATTTTCCAAATTTGATTTCTCAAAATTTATAAACATTCGTATGTACAATTATTTTAATAATTATAGAATTGTCACAGTCAGTATAAGAAATTCTTACGTTTACAGCGATTGTAATTAATTGTAATAGAAATTCAAATCTTGTTTGATTTTTCATATATCACCAAACTGTTGAATTAATATTATTTCATATTTTTAAATATTTTATTTGATCTGTTGAAAAGTGTTAAATTCTTGTAGCGAATACTGACCGGTGGCGTGTTCATGAAAAATTCTGATTGCGTGTGTCGCATGATTTAATATATCATCGTTTAAAAACGCTTGATAAAATATCTTATGTCACATGTTCGCGTTACAGACCCTCAGTCATATTAATAAAGTCGTTGCAAAAAAAAAATGCGTTACCACTGCACTGTAACCTTAACTGATCGCTATAAATTTGCGGCACGGACTCCGTGATCCCATATCGCGATTTTTTATTTATTAAAGCTGCGATCGACATCAAAATTTATCGAAATTATTCAGCCATTATTTTTAGCGACTACCGACCGACCAGACGTTTCTTGCTAATACGCAGATCAATCGCGTACATATTTCATACTTTATTTAATTTCTCTCTTGTCCTCGCTCTTTATCTCTTCTTTCTCTTTCTCTCGTTCTATACTGCGCTCGCGAGTGCGGAACTTCAAAAGGTTCGTTAACCCGTGCCTGGTTGCACGCAGGCGATCGCAGGAGAGATCGGGCCGCGCGTAATACCGCGCGTAACAAGGTGCGTAATTGGCCGCACGCGAGTAAATGCGCGCGTGCGCGCGTGCACAAGAGTTTGAGTTTCGAAACGTGCTCGGGCAAAAATCGCCGTGGATTAAATCGCGTCGTCGCAGTGGAACTCATTCCGAAATATATTGAGAGCAAAACGCGTTCTGAAATTTATAGAGGGATTTATGTACTCGATTCTTTATTTAGAGCTTGTTGGAGCTAATTAGTGAAAAGAGAAAGGACACCCGTTTCTTGGATTTATCCTGTTTGCTTTACATGCCGAATAATATTGTCCGATTTATAATTCTTTTTCTGGGATTTGTCGAAGTTAGTTAGCGGAAAGGGAAAGGACATTCGTTTGTTGAATTTATTTGAGTTTATTATGTGCAAGACTGTTCATTTATATCACTTGTTTCTCTTTTAATGTTTGTGTCAATTAACTGTAATTAAAAAATGACCTTGAAGAAAGTGTATCAAAATTCATTAACGCGATTGGATAATGTTTAGAAATTTATTTTCAGTTTTTTAAATAATCTGTAAAAGAGAGTATCGTATTCTTTATTAAAATGTAATTTGAAAATATTCATATTTTTACATTGAACACGCGCGATTAAAATATTTTTTGTTACGTCACATACTAAACCTTGAAAATCTTCCTGTACGAAAGAGATTGTGCGAATTATCATATCCGTTTCACTTTAAATCTACGATTCTTATCGTGTCAACTTAGATGTGGATAAGAAACGTTAAATCGTGTTTTATTGCGGATTGTTATAAATCATCGAGACGTATCAGAATGCGTATTAGAATACGAATTAAATGTGTGAATAATATCACTTTGAATAGAGATAGTAGATGCAATTTAGTTCTGTCAGCATCCGCAGTGGTTTGCGAAAAATAATCTCACTAAAGAGAAATTCCAAGAAAGATTTTATTGGACTTATACTCCTTTTCATCAATGTAGATTAATTTTTATCTCGGTTTAACTTACTATTTATCTTTTTTTTATTTCTAAAATTAGAAAGAGATAAAAAGTAAAAAAGTAAAGAATAAAATTAATTGAGATTAAAGTTAATTCTATTTTTGATGGAAATGGATATATTAATTGTTGAGTTAACTATTATATTTGGATATTTATCCTAGTATTGTAGCATTGCTCTAAACTGTTGATAGCGTTGTGTGTTCGTGTTATCGTGCATGAAATATACTTAGAATACTATTTACATTCTCTACTATTCTCTTCACATGCTCACGTGTACATGGATCGATGGTACGTATCTACATTATAAATAGCAGCACGGTTTCAACGTATGTTGACGATAACGAAGCGCCAAAAGCCTTGATACCATCATCAATTCGATATCATAAAGCGGTCGGCACTTTTGTCTACCATAAATGAATTTTCATACCTCGCACAATAGATTGCTTATTCGACAAGCCAGTGAGATAATCAGATATAACTCGCTATTTATCACTAAATATCTCCTGCATTGTTATTAGCGTAAATAACATAATAAATATCCTCTAATAAATTTGTATTAAAAGATAAAGCTTTTCTATTATGGTAATAACAGCAATCGATATTGTCGTAATTTATTTCTGCTCTTTTAAGTATATTAAAAAGACATTGAGGCAATCAGGAAGCTATTTATATAAAATACTTTGTCCGCTTTTATCGTATTGCGTAAACCAAGTAATAAGTATAATATCAATTTCTCTAACATTTCCAAAATTTTTGCCCGTAGTCATATACTGGAAACAGTTGACAAAAAAAATCTAGGTCGTACTTTTTTCAATAAACGAAAGAATTAATCTAAATAAACTCAACGCGACGCGTTTTTGCGAGGCGCAGTTTGGGAGCCTCTACACAACATCGCGGAGGCAGTGTTCTCTTTCTCAACGATAAGGCAAGCAATTCGAAAAAAAATGTAGCACCTGCCACTCCTGCTCGCGAGCTACGAGCCGAGAGAATTCATGTCAGACTGTTCGCTCGCTCGCTCGTGCCATAACTGCAATCTGTTATTTCTCCATCCCCCGAGCCCGCTTTCCGTTTCTCATTCTATCCTTTCATCCCTTACGCATCGATATCGACCACTGTCACTTCCTCTTTTTCTTTCTTCGCCAATAAGCAGCTTAGAGCAGCCTTATCGATGCTTCGGGAACGTGCCGCCGCATAAACGGAGAATTTGTCATTCAACCAAATCAATACGCGACCGAAGAGATAACGCTAATTAAAAAACGTTTTAATAAACGTATGACTATTTTATCGAATACAACTGATAACGTATACGTGGCAGAGATACAACTTTTCTGATATGTATAAAAGTACACATTGACTTACTGATAAGTTCCAAAAAGCATTTGTCTCCTATTTTTCTTTTTGTTTTCTTTTAATTTAAAGAAAATGGAAAATATATATATATATATTACAATAGTTTATTATGGACATGGTTTACCATTATCATTAGATTTAATTACAATGAATAGTTGACATGGAATTCTTTTCGATAGACAATAATATTATATTGTATGTTAAATAGAATAGGTTGATTTAATTTATATTGAAGAAGCTTCTGTGAGTCGAAACGTCTAGATAGATTATCGATATGTTACCTTAGTATAAAACAATAATTATCAAACATTATTGTATGCTCGTTTATATATATATATATATATTTTTAGTATTTGTAATTAAAAAGTTTATTATGATTTTAGAAAATGTGTTAATTAAATAAGATGAAAATTTGCCTTGGAATATATTAAATTCTAACATAGAATTTCTTAATTGAACTTTTTTAAAGTAGCATTTTTACAATTCGAAAAGAGGAAAAAGAATGGAGCCTTTTATTTCAAATTATTAAAAAATTCACGGAGAGATTCACAGAAATAAACGCGATGTGAAAACTCAATTATCTCGAAATACGATTGCACTCTTTTTCATTTGGTTACCCGTTTGAATGATCCTTTCAAGTAACAATTATCATAAATATATATACGAGTGTAAATTAAATTCTAGTATTGCTATTATAATACTGCTCGAATTTTAATATGAAAAGCCCAGATAACACAACGATCTTCGCACGATCTTTTTGCGATCGTTATTACTACACGCCGTGGGAGATCGTTATTCAAGGATGGACGAACGGATGCCCGGCGAGGCGAGGGAAGAGTAGAAGTTTATTATATACTCTATAGAAAGGGACGGAGACAGGGAAACGGGTATCACTTCCGAGTTGTCTTCTGCAATAGGTCGAAGACGCGGCTTCCAGCGGCGAGCGAGCTCGCCGTTTTTTGATGTTTAGGAGCCGATGCATGGCTAAACATTCATTTCCATATAAGCCGATATGTTTCAAATGTAAAGCGACGTTCGCGTACACCGGAGAGGTGGAAAAAGAAAGAACGAGGTGGATGAACGAGGGATGGAGGGAGGGTTAGAGGGGGTGAAAAGGAGAGAGGAGGAAGAAGCGTGGAAGCGGCGAACTGGTACGAGCGGAAACTAGTTTAAGCCCGCGGGTTGTCTCTCAACCCTCGGTCGAGTCTTCGACAATGCCCTTCATGGGATCCACCGTGCTCCCAATTCCGTCCACTTTAACTGCCTCTGCCCCGCCGTCGATTCTCTCTCTCTTTCTCTCTCTCTCTCGCTCTCGCTCTCTCTCTTTCCCCCCTTTACGCCCGTAAGTAGCCCCCGCGAGTGTGAGAACCGACCGGAAAATGCCTAACCCCGAGAACGCGCGTACAACCTAGCTTTTGGTTTGCTTTTAATTTCTTTACGTGTAAATTTAACTAAAAACGATTTTTTTAATGTTAACAAACTACTTGCATTCGCAGAATTTGATGTAACACTTATACAATGACTTAGAGAAATGATTAGATGATGATAGAAAATTATATATTAGACGAATGATAAGAAGGACGTAATAAAAATGTGGTCATATTTATTTGAAGGGTGCTTTAGCTATTTTTTATCGAACATAAGTTATATATATATATGTATCACGATTCTTTTTTCCATAATTTTAACTTTGAGACGTTAAAGTTTTAGATTTAAATATCACATTTACTAAAATATTATAATAGTATTCAGTCAGAAGTTAATGAGAACTTGTAATACAAAATTAATGAAATTTTATTTTATCAACAAAACTTTCTTTCATACAATATATCGAATATATTGATTTATTCAGAAGATGATTTTTTTTATTAATATACCTGCTTGCGATAAAATTTGAAAGCAGCGAGACATCGAAGACACGTTTCCTTTCCTCCTATTCTTCGAGCCTTAAAGAGTCCCGAAATTTGAGTGTGTCCACTCAAGAAAGTTCTCAGAAACGTATGTCGCAGACACATTTGCGGCCTGTTGACGCGTACACATTGTTGACAGCCGCACGTGGTTTTGCGATTCTCCAATTCGGCACGTGGAATCATTCGCAGGTATCATTTGCCGCATATGTCGGACGAAAGTGTAACCGCAAAGACTCACCTCCGTGCATTGGCCGCGAGAAAGCACGTTCCACTTTGCGGTGCATCTGTGCACGTGCAATACGCATTATTCTGTCTTTGCGTGCGATACTCATTCACCGCACCAGACAGGGGCCGGTCGGAATTACGTACGAGTCGACAGTTTGAAAACGTGTAACGAAATTATTAGTCAACGCCGGACAGGACTTATTCCGTTACAGTTCCTTTACAGGGTTTCCTTCTGCGTTTATTAAAATTAATTTTGTTATCCCACTTTTTAATAAATAACTTTTATAAAACAAGAGGTTATTCAATTAATCTTCTAACTAATAAAATTATGTACAGGGTGAGTGAAAAAAGTAACTGGAATATTTTTTTTTTCTTACTAGGAACAATTATAGACCAAGCAAAAAGATAGAGTTACTTTTATTCAGGAAAGTGAGATGTTTTTCACTCCCCTCCCTCATCTGTTGCATATACCATATTACTTGATCATACCTTAAAATATATTGAACAGTAGGATGTTTTAAAATTAGCCTAAACCATTTTCAAAATTTCTGAGGATGATACTGCGTATCTCATTGTCCTCAGATCTGCAGATCTGATTGATTAACGAAACAACATAAAAAAAATAACATTAGTATGCACAACGAAGTTTCGATGATATATCTTCATTGAATGTTAATCAATTCCGTGCGTGTTGACATTTCATCTCGGACGACAAGTGCACTACTCGTTGACCCCAGGAAACATTGCATCTAACGCTTTTAAAAGAGTCATTCGAGCATATACCGGTCGTCAACATGATGACCGAAAGCATGAAAGCATGTGTACGCCGCTTGCATTTCCGCATAACTTCGCACGCGTGCGTACGAATGCACTTTTCTCATTTACATGACAAGGCCGCTGCACCTCGCGGCGTATGAGGTCGACGCAGGTTGTTGCACAATATGTATATACATACACCAGGGGGGAGAAAAGGGGTAGCAGGCCCCCCTGCGGTCGGTGCAGTCTGGTAAGCAGCCCGAATGCACTTTGCACGATGCACCCCGGGTACTCGAGGCTATGCACGACGCACGTCATTCGCCGAGCGAATCTCTCTCCACCTCCTGCCATAAATTCGACCGCGAACACGTTCGCGAAATAAAAAGGGTGACCCGGGGAGGGGGAGGAGGCACACATCTCCTCGTCCCGAGGCGCATCTCTTGCCCTCTTTACAGTGCATCTCGGTCGGTTTCTCTTCTTCTTTTTATTTTCTTCCTTTTTCACCCTTTTCTGTCTCTCTCTCTCTCTCTCTCTTTCTCTCTTTCTGTCTTTCTTTCTCCCTCTTCAGTCTTCCTCACGTGAATCGTTGCACTCGGCGCGTGCCGATCTCGTGCCCTCTTCGCCTGCTGTATCCCCTCCTTCGCTATGCATTTAATTCCATCGCTTCTTTCATCCTTCTCCACCCCTTTCTTCGACCCACCCCAACTCCTCACTGGCTGGCTCCGAGCGACCGAAGTGCATCCTGCATGCACTTGTTGCGCTGATGCACACACCCGGCTCTATTACCAATCTTTCTTTTTTTTGCCGAGTGCAAGTTTCTCAACTTCTTTGATGCTTCTAATTTCGCCACCGCTCCCCCTTATTTTTCTTCGTGCGGTTTTTAATTATTTTGGCAATATGTCTTCATTTATCTTTCCTTTTACCTTTAAGGCCTTTACATCGTAAATACAACGCAAAATTGTTGCTGCTTTTTTTATGTCATCTATTTTACAGCAAGCAAGGGAAAAGAAATTTTTATTAATAACGTGCTTTATTGTGTTACGCATCAATATATATATATTTGTTTATCGATTATGTTATGTAATCAGAAAGAAGAAAAAAGATTTTTGATTAGGTACAATCCAAATGTTATGAACGCGTTCTACAATTAATTTTTTTTTAATGTAGTATGTAAGTAAAGAAAAGAAAT